ACGACTACGGACTAGGTGCGTTCTACATGGTCTCCCTGAAAACAAGACCAAGTTGCGACAACGAGGTCAATCCAGTACTATCAATCGAAAGGAGACTGCGACCACACCAGAGGCCACATCTTGGTCTTCATATATTCAATAAATGTATTCTTATTCATAAGAAAGTAGATGTAGTGGTTTATAACTTGACTTGGAGCTAAAATAATCTTATAAACTTAATGGCTGAAATATAAATTTGGGAGAAACATAATTAAAAAGAATACGAATTATGAAAATGGGGAACAAGAGAGCATAGCGCTCCTTAAAATAACCTTATGTATATTTTGAAAGCCTTGATAGGACAGATCCTTAGCCAAAGGAGCAAATGGAAGATAAAACGACTGAATTATTATGAAACTAATTATAACTCGATATAACGAAAAGACTGATAATTAGGATAACCACGAACAAATGAATAAAGGCCTCACAACGCCACTGAATTAAAATTATCCTTGTCAGACAAAGGCTATTCACATTTCCTATATCCTCGTATCACGCCTTCACTGCTACAATTTGTACCGTGTTTATTTAGATGTAGTGTGGTGTGTTCCTTTGAGCGGCATTCATGAGAACCTTCCACACTCCTCGCTGTCGTTCTCACACCCTTAACCCTTGTGCTGAGAATTTTCATCAGTCTGCCATATTGTTACGTAGTCTTCCTTCCTCACGTCTTATCACAGTCTCTCTCTTGCCTCGTAGGATCCTTCCGCTATCTCCCTGTTTTAAGTATTTCACTCGATCTCTGCCACTCCATCTGTGCTACTCGAGGCGTCATTCGCCCTCCCCTGCGTCTGGATGACCAATTCGAGGCTAAAGCCTCTGATTGTCTCATTGTCAAGCTTTGCTACATGGACCACGTCTCTAGTAGAACCTACTTTCAGCCAACTAGATCCAGTCTCCACCGCGTCTATCATGTTTTTATTCCTTTTAACAAGTCTATGACCTCATATTCCCTAGTCTCTTATGTGCCAACTCACAAATGTTGTGGTACTGCTTGCTTTGATTAGGTTCAATGTTGAACCGCAAACGTTTGTGGGTTGGCATACAAGAGACTAGGGCATAGCAAGTCATAGACTGGTATTAGGGATAGAAACAGGATAGACACCTTCGGAGACTAGAGCTAGTTGACTGACAGTAGGCCTGTTTTACCATACACGTGGTCCATATAGCAAAGGCTTGACGATGAGACTTACTCAAAGGCTTTAGCCTCGAATTAGTCATCCAGATGCAGAGGTGTGATAACGCCTCAAGTAGCACAGATGGGGTGGTATGGGTCGATTGAAATACGTGAATCAGGGAGATAGCAGACGGATCTTACGGGGCAAGACGGAGACTCTGATAAGACATATGGAAGGAGGAATGCGTAACAATATGTTAGACTCTGATCAACATTCCCAGCACAAGGGTGAATGGGTGTGAGAACGCCAGCGTGAAGTGTGGAGGGTTTTCATGAATGCGGCTCAAAGGAGCTCCCAACACATCTAAATTGTAAGAATGAAGGCGTGATACGAGGATATAGGAAATGTGAATAGCCCAGGGCAGAAGGAGAGATACCACAAGTGTTTAGCACACGTTTGGTCAAAGGATCGGCTTCACTTGTCACTTTGACGAGTTGTAGTATGGTGCTAGGAGTAGCAAAACTCACTGACGACGCCGACTTTGATTCCGGCCAAACGCCTGGTAATGTACCACGTCCACGATCCGACTTAGGAAATGATTATTCATACAATGGACTCCGGAATAGGTGCCTTCCTCTAAGTCTTCCTAATAATATGACCAAGTTGCCAAAACAAGGTCAAACAACATCTATAAAACGAAACGAGACTGCGACCACATAAAAGGCCACACCATCTTGATCTTGATACTTTCGATTAATAAAAGATTACCTTATTGATACCAGTACTAGTGTGTGGATTGAGAGAGGCCTAACTTGTCTGTAAAGTTGTAACTGCACTGCAGACCAATGGCACTCAGGGGTATGGTTAAGTAGCAACATTGCGACTGAAGGAGTGCTAATCAGTTTAGAATCCTACGTAGAGTGATGATGAAGACAATACGAAGTCGAAACTGCAGTCGCGCATAGGTGAGAATGCCATTTTTGGGACAAAACGAGGGTTAATGGCATTGAAAGACCTATTTATTTTCTTGTGGACAGCTCCATTATCAGTCATTTGACAATCTTAAGCGACCAAAGTTATCTGGAATTCTTATAAATAGATGTATTGATAGTGTAAGAGCCTACCGATTTGATAAATAGAACTATTAAGTTTAAAGGAAGGATAAAATGTAGGTCAAGTAAGGATATTCCGATCTTCAAAAAGGAATACATAAGAAAATATGTCATTTCAAAATAAGCAAATAACTAAATGCATGCTTTATAATATCTAGCAAAGTAAAATAAGGAAATTTTTTTATGTTTATTCAATAAAGCCAGAGGGCATATTGCTATGCATTTTTACTATTATTAAAATCCATTGAAAATGTTTCTACAGTAACATTTAGGGCATAGTGATGAGGCCTAGACAAGGTTGAAATTTCAGTACACTTTGAATATAATTTTGAGACACATTCAAAACAGGTAAACTAACTGTTATAGCCACCAATAGACAAATGATTGACCGCCACCAATAAAAAAAGCTAGATGCTACTAGTACAGCCATGCTGGCATGATAGCATAGTCGGCAACAAAGAAAAATAATATCTATTATAAATTGAACAATTAGGTAGAGATAATGGTGTAGTGACTTATTTCAACCCCCTTTCATAAAATATAATATAGCTGATAACACTTTATTATTTCATAAACATGCCAGCTTTAGCTTTAGCTTTAACTTTGAACATAAGAGTTTTCCCATAGGATCAGCGTGATTAATCACGTCAAGCCGTGCCATCATCCAAGAGCTTATAAGAAAGTGGCATACACACGCACACCAGGCAACTAATTCGATTAAAACACGCTGAAATGAGATGAGGAAGGATACTACACCCGTTTCCTCTTAACGATGATGCCTACTTCCTTACGTCCCTTTAATATGCTTAGACGTTACGCGACGTCTTTTGCCCTCTCAGCTTTCGTTTGCAATTCATTTTGTTCTAAACAAGCCCTTTTGCGATTCGGTCTCATTTCTTCGATGAGATTAAGAATCCGTACATTCTACCATATACAAGAACGTAAATTGGAGTTAAATAACAGAAATGGTATAAAGGAACCTGGATGGACTGGCATTTAAAAAATTGGACACCCCTAAGACGAGCCGAAATTCAGCTTTTCCGAGAAGCCTATAATGGATGTAAAAGGAGTAAAGTACCCATATAGAGAATTATCATAACTAATTAACGCTAATAAGTAAACCAGTTTAAGCTGAAGGGCTCTCTAGTCTATAATAAAAATAGAATTAGCTGAGCAAATACAATGTAACCGGAAATTTGACGTAATGGGCCTCTATA